TGACAAGTTTGAGAAATTGAAAGGAAACCATCCAGGTAGCTCAGTTGGTTAGAGCATCGTCCTGCTACGCCAAGATTTCGGATTCAATCCCTGGTCAGAGTACATACAAGAAACAACCAATAAGTGCATGAATAAGTGGAACAACAAATTGATGTTTCTCTCTCTCCCTCTCTCTCTCTCTCTCTCTCTCTCTCTAAAAAAGCAATAAAATTTTAAAGGGATGGGGGGAGCCAATGTGATTGGAGGGGAGGGCTAGAGAGACATGAAATGAGGTCAGAGATGGGAAGAGTCAGGAGCCAGATCAGACAGAGCCTTGAAGATGGGAATTTGGATATTGCTGTCGTGCAGAGAAAAGGTGTTGGGGGTGAAATAAAATCTTTTTATTTTATTTATTTTTAAAGGTCTGTCTTCTTCTGTCCTTAGGCTCTTGTGCCTGTCACTTCTATCCTCAAAACCTTGCTCCTCTGCTTGGCCATCTATCCCTAGCATGTGGGGACATCAGTCCATAGCTTTCTCTCTATTCTGCAGATTTCTCTGGAAAGTAGTTTATGAGAGACCTGTGACATGGAGTGCAAAATGAGCAAAGCAAGTTCCCTCCTTCAGAGAGTGCTATATTGTGGTGGTGTGTGTGTTGGGGATGGAGAGCTGACCATGAGGTACAAAATGGAGCACCTCCATTGTAGGGTAATCTGCCAGAATCCTGTAGGACAAGGCACCTGACCTGACCTCACAGGGCCTTGCTTTCCACAAATGCCAAGTGGGAGGTGCCCACCTGGTAGAGTTATTTTACAGAACACACAGAAAGAGGAGTGAGGCAATGGGGAATGAGAGCTCCCACTTCAGGTACCATATAGCATCAGAGGTAGAGAAGTGGACTTTGATTGTTGACTTGTGCCATCAGGAGTTCCTTTGGTGAAACAGTGGGAACAATAGCCAGAGGGTGGTAGGTAAGGGCTGGTTGTAGGAGAAGAGGGAGATTGCTACTTGGCTGATTGGGCTGGGGTGACACAGATGATGGAAGGTGGCTCCGGGCAGGATGGCTGGGCTGTTAGAGCCAGTTTGCAAGACAGTGGGGAGACCCAGAGGTAGGGGCATAAGCAGGAGGTCAAAACACATTCTTAGCCCACAGGCTAGAGGGATGAGCTCACCCAAGAAATGGGGAAGGGCAGTCCAGGGCCAGGTTTTCAGGAAGGTGACACTTTGTTCTCTTCCACATTCATTAAACATCAGCTGAGGCAGTCTTAAGACTTCAAACTTTTGGCAAAACGTACTCTCTGGACATCTGGAGTCTAGTTGAAGATAGCAAAGGAATAGATAAAAAAGACAAAATTCCAAAGTGTTTTTTGTAGGACATCAAATAAGTAGGGCAGACAAAAACTTCAGTCACAGGGAGGAGCCATTGATTCTGACGTCTGCCGGCATCAACTATCAGCGCCAGTTGTAGCTTTGTTTCTTTTTAGTCTCAGCTCATTCTTGCCATAGCCTTTTGTTTTTAACATCTTGTCAAGGTGGAATCTGGGGTCTGGCTCTGAATGCCTGCCTGCCAGCAGACTGTTCAGGTGCCCTCTGACCATCGTCCCTCAGTACAGCAGAGTCCACCTGGGTGTTTACCTAATCCCCCTCCCCTCTCCTCACTAATCCTACCTACAGGTATATACCCACAACACCCTCTTACTTGTCCTTGCCTTTTTATGTGTTTATTTTAATACATTAATTATATTGTATTTTCTGTAAGTGTAATTATTTAATAATAACCGTGTGGCTCAGCGGTTGAGCGTCAACCTAGGATCCAGGCAATCAGGGTTCGATTCCTGGTCAGGGCACATGCCCGGATTGCAGGCTCTATCCCCAGTTGGGGCCGTGCAGGAGGCAGCCAATCAGTGACTCTCTCATCATTGATGTTTCTATCTCTCTTCCTCTCCTTTCCTCTCTCTGAAATCAATAAAGATATATTTAAAAATAATAATATATAGAAGTAAGTAGTTTTCTATCCATGAGTTTTCTTTTCTGTTTCATTATTTTTAAAATAAAAAGGCAACCTGTTTTCTTGGGTGAAAAGGAAATGAGGAAAGAATATGATCATTTGTTGGAGAGAAAAGCAGGACAGTGAAGCTCCTCATCTCTGTGGCCTCATTGTAGACAACAAGACAGCAGGTTCCTGCCCTGAAAGGCTTAAAGAGGCCAAGGTTCTCGAGGAGATGCAGTGCAGCACTCAAGGAAATCAGGGAGTGTGGTCTAGCTATAGGGGCCTATGATGTGTAGCAACCCAGTATCTCCTGCCTATGGAAGGATTCTCTCCGTTCAGCTAGGCCTGATTTTAATTTGTGTGTTATTAAATAAGCATTATTATATCTTATATTTGTGCTTAAATATCCCTTTTTAAAAAATGGAATAAGATTATTAGACACAAGTCATGATTCCAGATTTTCATCAAGATTCTCATTAACAATGGAGTTTTCCTTATGTGCATATCTGAAAAATGTCTCTACTAGAAACAAATATGATCATAAAGTTTTTCTGTTTTGTGACTTCTGTATGGTAGAGAAAGGATATACAAATCATAAAACTAAATCCTGGGTCCACTTCAAAGAATATGAATTTTTTCATAATTATAAAAAACATTTATGTGTTTACCTTAGTTATGAATAAGAAGCACATTTCTCTTCCTACTATCTATAAATAAAGACATTGTAACTTGGAGTAGGGGACGAATACTTGGACTCCAAACACTAATCTTAAAATAATCTGGCCCGGCCAGCCGTGGCTCAGCGGTTGAGCGTCGACCTAGGATCCAGACGATCGGGGTTCGATTCCCGGTCAGGGCACATGCCCGGGTTGCGGGCTCGATCAATGACTCTCATCATTGATGTTTCTCTCTCTCTCTCTCCCCCCCTCTCCTTTCCTCTCTCTGAAATCAATAAAGATATATTTAAAAATAATAATAATAATAATCTGTATTTCAGAAGTCTTTAGTATGTCTCAGATATTTTAAAACTTAATTCTTATATTAAATCAATTTACTCTCACCTCCAAATTTTTATTTCCTTTTAAGGCAAAGCCAGAGAAAACATGTCTTTTCAGTTGTAATATTCTCTACTGAAGTATTTTACAACTTAATTTTTAATTGAAGTCTGAAAAATAGGACTCTCAGTTGCTAACCCTCAAATTTTTTTTCAATCTTTTTTTTATCCTCACCTGAGGATATTTTTTCCATTCTTTTTCAGAGAGAGTAGAAGGGAGAGAGAAAAAAACATTGAGGTAAGAAAGACATGTCGAGTGGTTGCCTCCACTTGCACCCCAACCAGAACCAAGCCTGCAACCCAAGTACATGCCCTTGGCCGGAATCAGACCTGGGACCCTTCTGTCCCTGGGCCAATGTTCTAACCACTGAGCCAAACCGGCTAGGGCTAACCTTCAAATTTTTTAATTGTTCAACTAAGGTGTTTCAGTTAAACCTGTAACATTAACTATAATAATTTATAAATACAGTTGGCTTTTTACATTTTAAAAATATACATATTTTTACTGATTTCAAAGAGAGGAAGGGAAAGGGAGAAAGATGTCATCCATGATGAGAGTCATTGATTGGCTGCCTCCTGCACGCCCTCTGCTGAGGAGCAAGTCCACAACCGGGGCATGTGCCCTGACCGGGAATTGAACCTCTATCTCCTGGATCATAGGTTGATGGTCAACTGCTGTGCCATGCCAGCTGGGCTGGCTTTTTATATCTTGTTTTTCTCATATACTTACCTAGTACTTGACTACAAAAGTCCGAATACTAAAGTACATTTTGTTTTTGTCTTAGAACTTTTCATTGTTTAAAGTCTAATTCTTAATTACCAGAATAACTTTACAAGCCATCCTGTAGTTGTCGAATTGATGGTTCTTCTAAATAAAGGAATTTAAGTCAGAATTCAGACAGGAAACTTAAAGAAAAAAAAATTTTTTTTTTAAACTGATTTTATACTGTGTTCTAACCAGGAAGCCTCAGAGGATAAAGTTCTTTTTTCCATTGTCATTTTGGTGAGTACTCAGAATAAGCCAGTTTCCATAAGATGAGAAGTTCCATTTGGTAATAGTGGTTTTTTCCGTGGAAATGTAGTGACTGCAGTCTTATTTCTCAGTAGGTTTGGGGAATTACAAGTCGTTTTATATGTCTGGGCCCATACATCCCAGTGAGCAAGTAGAATGATAAAAATCAAACAATAAAGGGTGGGAAGGTAGAAAACTCATGGCAGCTAGTCTGAGTTCTCAGGGTTTGGAAGTTAAGAAGATAGGACATTAAGGGCAGAGGGTATCTTGGTGAGAAGAGCCCGGAAAGGGAGCTAGAGTGTTGCTTGGTGGGCCCTGCTGCCTTTGCAGTGTGCAAAGTCACAAGGACAAAAGAGGTCAGCACCGGGTACTGCCTGCCTTTGTACCCCTGCTTCATGGTGAACCAGCCTGTGACCTTGGGGAGGGCTCTAGTCTCTGGATCTTTATCAAGCTTACCTTACTGGAGATGGGGGTTAACAGGGACAACATGTCTGAAAAAGCCCTGCAGCTCTGTGAAAGTGGGGCCACACATACTTACAGGGTTCATTGAATTAGAAACCCAGGCCTGTGCTGCATACTCTGGCTCTTTTCCTTCTCCATCCTGTTTGGGCCTTTCCCTCACCTCTTTGCAGCATGATTTCCTTTTTTTTTTATTTGATATGTGGTCACATCAGGACAAAATTACCAAGTTTCCAAACTTGGTAGACATTGACAAAATGTTAAGTTGTCTGCTTCCCAGTGGCATGTGTAGAGACACTCTGTCACCTATGCAACTGGTGTTTCCAACCCGCCTATAAAGGGAGTTATTTCTTAGAGCTTTCTTAAAATGGTTGATTGTGTAAGTTGAGTCCTAAAAAAATGTATAGTTTCCTTTGGATAGGACAGTGTGTGTGATTTAATGTTAACTTTCTCTTTTCTTTAGTTTGCAGAGAACATGCTGACTTTGTTTTCTTTCTCCATTCTTACAGGTTGGTGATATTGTGAAAGTCACAAGGATGAACATAAATGGCCAGTGGGAAGGTGAAGTGAATGGGCGCAAAGGGCTTTTTCCCTTTACACACGTCAAAATCTTTGACCCTCAAAACCCAGATGAAAATGAGTGATTGCCGTTGGCCCTGTTTTCTGCTGCTTCGTTATTCTGCCTGTCATAGTCTCCTTTGAGTGGGAAAGCGTTCTATTTCATAGGCAAGTTACACTGCATTGCCGACGTCCAGCTTTCTGCAGACTGGCGGTCTCATCCATGTTTGGAATGCACACAGTGGCTGCCTCGGCATTTGTATCATAGTTGTATTGTCAAAGAGTAGCCGATTTTAGAGTTCTTTTGGATCATAAACTGGAAATACTGGTGGAAGCACACAAGTGAAGAGAAGTTGATGAGGAAAGGGTCCTTCTTCTCATCACTGCCCTGTTTGTTGTACTTATGACTGATTCTGTCACGTTCATCAGAGAAAGCTTGAGGCCATGGTGAGACATTGTGTGTTGCTGTTCCACAAAGCAGTGGCTCAGTTGCTAGTTTGTTTTTCCTTTAAAGAACAGAGCAAGTGAACCTTAAAGAAGAGGAAATTCTGTCCTAAACTCCCCAGATCTGGCTTTTCTCTTTTGTTTCTTTTGGTTTGGTTTTGGAAGACTTAATTAATTAGACTTGTGTGTTCTGAACAGGTTTTTAAGTAGCAGGTTGGATTTTTGTGATATCACAATGACACGTGCCTCTGAGCTTCTAAACTGAAGCTGCTGTAACTAAGGAAATGAAAACAACAACCCTGAAGTGGAGGCTTTTATTGTCTTGGTTGGCAGTAGTATCTTTTAGCCATATAGCAAACAACACCAAAAAAGTCAGCAGTTGTGGTATGCCAAGCTGTGTGGGCAGCCTCTTGGATTACATTGTCCCCAACAGCAACAGTGTGGAGGGTGGTTTGGGGAAACCGTTGCTCACCTTGTTTGCCAGTGAAAGAAACATTTGGGGAAGGGGGTACTTGGCCAGTTTTCTTTACTGTGGTTCATTGAATGTGCCCCTTTAAGGTATAGGACTTAAGCTTCGTTAAAAAGTGAGGTGGTTCATAGAATCCTTGGATTCATTAATGAATCTTTAAATTCTGCTCTCTGAAGCCCAGTCTGCCATGCCATAGCCTGGGCTTATCAGGTTGCAAGAGAAAGATGGTGCTGCTAATACTGGTTCCACTGGCTGTGTGCCCATGATGCTCTCAAGCAAAGAAAATGCAGACTCTGGAAATTGCTTAATATATTTGATGTCTAATGTTTTAGTGACTAGAGAGAACCATTAACCAGTTTACCATTAACCATTTACCAGTTTGATGCTAAAGGTTCCCTGTTAGCTGAAAGAGGCCTGTTCATACAAGCCAACTGCTACAAATGGCTGTAGCAGACTAGAATGCTAGAACCTTCTTGGAGTTCAGTCTGCTCTACCTTCTGGACACTGATAAAGACAGGCCTCAGCTCAGAATGAACACAGCAGACCTAGAGATGTAGCAGCAACCTAATGAGCAGGTCTGTATCATTTACTGAACATCTGCGGTAACTGTCTGTCTCCCAAGGGTCTTAGATTTTGAGGGTTAAAGCAATATATTCTGGTGAGAGAACCATCAAAACAATTTAAAATTTTTCTTTAAATCGGTATTCTATCAGGCAGTTAATCACCATATTAAAGAATCTTGAGAGTGCTCCTGTGTGACAAAATTAATGGTCAGTTGGGGAAAATTTCATTGTGGCTGCCTGCCTGTAGTTTTCCTGAAAGAAGATAGCAATCATCACTTCCTAATCAAGTGAAAACTGTGGCCACCCGTGGCTCTGAAGGTACCTAGCCATTGCATTTGCTTCTTGGTCTAACTTCAGACCCAGCCTGGCACCCACAACAAGGTGACATACATGTGGCAGAGTCCGCACCCTCTGCCTGGAAACAAGCCTTATGGCTAGTGGTCCAGTATTTTGGTGTCTAGCAGAAGGTAGAATATGTGCCTTGCTCACATTGGAAGGGGGGGAGCACAAATCGTAAGGCTTTTTAAAACCAAATTTAGCTGAGGGGCTTGCCACCATTTATGACAATAGTTGACTCAGAACACAAGAAGTAATGTAGCCATTTTGGAAAGGAAGGTTTCCCTTCAGCCATGTCTGCTGACCAGTATAGCAAGACCCACATCATGTGGAGCATTTCAGAATCAGAACACTCACAACCTAGGTTTGGCTTCATAGTAAGTTTGCTCATCACTTCAGCCCACATACATGTCTACAGGACTGTGCTGGAGACTCGGAGCCTCAAATAAGGTGAGCCTTTGAGTCCTGCACTCTCAAGATACGTGCCAAAAGTAACACCTTTTTGACTTAGAACCTTACTAGTTTTTTAATCAGGCAGGGAATTTCTCTTTTTCACACTAAACATACAAAAAATAGCACCCTTGCCTCAGCTTCATGTCTGGGTTTCCCAGTGGTCTGGGAAGACTGCTTCAGAAAGTGATGTGAATCTTCTAGAGGAGCTACCTTCCCTCCTGAGCGCACTTCCCTTTTAGGATTGTTCATCATTGCTACTTGCTCTACTCTACTGTTTGTCACTTAAGAAAATATTTGTATGTTAAATTAACTCAGAAGTTGAACAAGTTACATACTAAAGGGCATTGACAGTTCGAAACTTATTTATCCTGGGAAGAACCTCCAACACAGGAGTCATTCTTGTCATTTCTGCGAGGTTTGTTACCACCTGATGACATGGTTAATGAAGAGGAGGACACTTTGGCTGCCATTTGACAACTTTGGTCACCCAGATGAGAGACCTTATGTGCTCATGGTCAAAAAGCTGAAAGGAGGGAAGGACAGCTGCTCCCTCCTTGGAGCTCAAGCATCCCTGGCACTGTGCTAACTTTCTTTTACAGCTGTTTACAGACAAGGCGGGCCGAGGCAGACGGCCACTGCTCTTGTAATGTTTGCTCAGAGGAAAATGAACATTTTATTTTTGAAAAGGGATGATGTGTTTTTGTGCCAGGTGTTTATAATTTAATCCTTTAATATTATGTTCATTAACTTCTTAAAATGAGTGAATTCTTATTTTAACACAGTACCTAAGACTAATGCTCTCTGTGGACACCACTGAGCTCTGCCTCAAACTCCACCCTCTGGGACCGGAGACCAATGTCCCTGCTAACTGCTGACAGTGTGGACACTGAGTTAGTTGTATATTCTAAAGGAGTAGGAGGACAGTTCTCTGAGACAGGGTCGTTGTCTCTGCAGGAGGAACAGTGGCCTTGCTTCTAGACGGTCTTCACTGTGTGTTTTAAAACAACAAAAACAACACAAAACTCTTTTGACCTGTAACTTAAAGATCGTAAACTTCAGGCAATAATATTTTCTGTGTAAGCTTTTAAAATTATTTTTGGGGATCATAGCTTGTTTTATTTTGTGCTATAAAATTAACAGTATTAAATGACTTATATTCTTAGAACACATCGAGTGTCTTTTCTTAACAGATTAGTGCCTTTTTATTTTTGTATTTCATTTTACGTTACTGGTCCTGGCATCAGAACCCTTGTTTCCATGGCCTGTTTGTACATTGTCTCAATAAAACTTGCATCAGCCGGTGGTGGCAGCAGCTTCAGTGTTTCAGTGTCTCCTCAGTAGTGCTGCCTGGAGGCACTCAGCCCCCACCAGCCTCCCAAGCAGTTCCTGGTGAAACACCTGGTACTTCACCAATGATGAATCCTGCAACCCGAAATAGAATGGGATCTTGCATCAGCCCCTCTGCACCTCGGGTCCTCCCTACAGAAGAAAGCAGCTGGTGCTTAATCTCGGCCTTCTGAGGATGGGTCAATAGTTGCTACGCTTTATACCACTAAGGTAAACTTGGATGTTTTCCTTCATAGACTCCCATATCTGAAGGCTTCTGTTAAATATTTGTTCAGCACAAGCTAGTCAGAGTTGAATGGTTTCAAGCAGAAGTCACAGAAAATGAATAGCCTCATCCCAGATCAGGGCATGATATCTGTCTGGCTTGTTAAAATCCTTTTCTGTTTCTGTATGTAAGTGGACCTCCTGATGAATTCTGGGGCCTTCAGGTGGACAGCTTGAGGTGTTGGCAGCCCACTGATTTCCCTGACATGCCCTCAGCCGGAGTCCAGTTGCCATGCCTATTTATATGTGTATTAAGAGCTCCAAATTTTGTGGTAAATCCTCCGGAAATGAGTTTCAGGAAGTGATACCAATCCATATTTATATAGAACTATTGCACTTCCTGTCTCCTACTTTCAAGATTCTGCAGAATTTGAGAGAAATGTTTGTCTTAAAAGGAAATACCAAAACTGTCAAATCATTCTTGGGGGGGGGGAAGTCCCAAAGACACCTTTGAAGACTCCTTGTAGTTTGAAAAGGTTTATTTTGGTCAGCAATCCTGGGCTGGGTTCCTCTGAAACAGGGAACACTTGGCAATGGGACTGGATTTGGGGGGGGGGGGTGCC